CACATTACCCCCCCTCACTCTCACATTAACATCACCTCCCTGTCACCATCACCTCTGTGTCACCATCACCCACCTCTCACCATCACCCGCCTCTCCTTCTCACCATCACCCCCCCATACACACAACACACTTCAAGCAGCTACCCCATACACATAGGGTCTCATACAAAAACACATACATGCTCATAGATACATACATTCACACACAAGGATACTCTCTGTCAGACACACTTTCAGGCACATACACAGGTAAACTGTGCATCAATGTGTATATGTGACACTTTTTTGTTAGTGGGGCCTCATGTTTGAGTTTCGCCTAAGGCCTCATAAAGTCTAGAGCTGCCTCTGGCTGTCCCAATAGCTTGCATTTAAAAAAACAAAACTTTTTGGACTGTAATATAATAGCAGTCAGTTTCCTTCACGAGTGTGCGTTTCAGGGCCTGCCCAGTGCCACCACTCACTCACTGGTGTCCCAATAGCTCGCATTTAAAAAAAACAAAACTTTTTGGACTGTATTATAGTAGCAGTCAGTTTCCTTAATGAGTGTGCGTTTCAGGGCCTGCCCAGTGCCACCACTCACTCACTGGTGTCCCAATAGCTTGCATTTAAAAAAAAAAAAAAAGAACTTTTTGGACTGTAATATAATAGCAGTCAGTTTCCTTCACGCGTGTGCGTTTCAGGGCCTGCCAGGGCACAGTGACACACCAGTGCAACTCATATCTGGTGTAACAGTAGTGTACATTTTAAAAAACTGTAATAGATTCAATAGCAGTTAGTTGTCTACAAGCGTGTGTGTCAGGCCTACAGGGTCTACTCTGCCAACTTCTGCCACTGCACAGTGCCACTCATATCTGTTGTCACGGTAGCTTGCACGCATAGTACCACTAATTGAAAAAAAAATTATAGGCAGGCCACCCCGCAGGGGCCGTCGTGGTGCTGTGATTCCCTTTGGCCCTAGAATAATGCCCAGTGTTCAGAGGCCAACGTACCCTGAACTCGAAAAGTTCTGAGGACATAGTTGACTGGCTAACACAGGACACCCAATCTTCTACAGCTTCCGCTCGGAACCTTGACGCACCATCCTCCTCCAGCTTAGCTTCGGGTGGGGAGGCTGAGGGTGGTGGTGAGGCTGGTGGGGGTGTGGGAAGGCTGAGGGTGGTGGTGAGGCTGGTGGGGGGGTGGGAAGGCTGAGGGTGGTGGTGAGGCTGGTGGGGGGGGGAGGCTGAGGGGAGGCTGGGGTGGTGAGGCTGGTGGGGTGGGAAGGAGGGTGTTGAGGGCGGTGGGGGTGGGAGGCTGGTAGGCTGAGGGTGGTGCTGGTGGGGGGAGGCTGAGGGTGGGAGGCTGGTGGGAGAGGCTGAGGGTGGTGAGGCTGGTGGGAGGGGAGGCTGAGGGTGGTGAGTCTGGTGGGGGGGTGGGGAGGCTGGTGGGGGAGGCTGAGGGTGGTGAGGCTGGTGGGAGGGTGGGGAGGCTGGTGGGGGGAGGCTGAGTGTGGTGAGGGAGCCTACCTTCTCTTCCCTGGTGGTCCAGTGGCCACTTCTTCCGGTCTGCAGCTCCGCAGAGCTGCAGACCGTGTAATATCGCGAGACCATCAGAGCGTTGCCGTGGTAACCTGCGGCAACGTCCTGATTGGCCAATTCTCGCGAGACACATGGTCTGCAGCTCTGCTCACTGCGGAGCTGCAGACCTGTGTCTGCGATGGTGGCCGGGCAGCCAGGAGGGGCCTCGCACCCGGCGGCATACCGGGCAAGCCGCCGGGCCCCCTCCTGGTGTCAGGTCCTCGGTCACTGACCGAGGACCTGACAGTCTGCCATAAGGCGGTTTAGGTGGCCGCGAGGTCCCAGCCAGTGCGAGGCCTTAGGCGGCCACCTAAACCGCCTAATTAGAGAGCCGCCTCTGTTTGCGGTTGTTTGCGGTGCGTTAAACGGGGAGTTTGATCTGTCACTGTGAAGCGGGCATAACCCTTACACTACCTGATCGATACAACATCATACCTGATGTTTTAAAGCACGTTATTCCAAACAATTTAGGAATGTTAGGTGATTTATGCCCTTTATGGATTAAAACCAGACTCTGCATCAACTATGTAATTTTCCATGGGAGTTTTGCCATGGATCCCCCTCCGGCATGCCACAGTCCAGGTGTTAGTCCCCTTGAAACAACTTTTCCATCACTATTGTGGCCAGAAAGAGTCCCTGTGGGTTTTAAATTTCGACTGCCTATTGAAGTCTATGGCGTTTTGCCCAGTTTGCCAGGTTCGCGAACATTTGCGGAAGTTCGCATTCGCCGTTCACGAACCGAAAATTTTATGTTTGCGACAACACTATACACAACTATCAAGGCACAAATTTAACCTCAAGACTATACAAATTAAAGGGTTAATAAAGCCACTGCAACTAAAAAAAATACACATTTGATAATATACATAAGATATATTATTCAGAAGATTGAGTAACTCACTAAACTATATTAGTACTTAATATCTTTTTCAATATATTTTCACAAAAAGATGGGATTCAGTACAATATCAAATGATTAAGATATTAGCGGTTAACACCCAAGGTATAAATTATTTATATAAAAGGTCAACTGTATATAGATACTTGAAAAAACAAAGAGTGGCTATTGCTTTTTTGCAAGAGACTCACTGGAGACAAGAGGACAAAATCAAATTTAAAGGCAAAGATTTCCCAGTGCTTATACATGCTTTATACTGAGGCAAAAGCAAAGAGGAGTTGCTAACTCCCCATGCAACTATTGTCCTATCTCGCTACTGCCTTTTGCATCCAAGATCCTTGAATGAATTGTGTATTTGAGATTTACAGACTTCCTCGAGTCCAACTCTCTGCTAGACCCACTTCAGTCTTGTTTCCGCACTAAGCACTCTGTGAAAACGGCACTGACAAAAGTATCCAATGATCTACTCGCTGCAAAATCTTATGGTCACTACTCTATCCTAATTCTCCTTGACCTGTCTGTGGCTTTTGACATTGTTGATCATCAACAGCTTCTTCTCATCCTCCGCAATATTGGTCTACAAGATATTGCTCTCTCCTGGTGCTCCTCCTACCTCTCCCAGCGCTATTTCAGTGTTTATTTTTTTGGCTCTGCAACTCCTCCCCAACTAATCTCTGTTGGTGTCCCCCAAGGTTCAGTCCTTGGTCCCCTACTGTTCTCCATCTATACTGCCTCCTTTGATAAACTCATTAGCTCCTTTGGCTTCCAATATCATTTCTGTGCAGATGACACGCAAATCTACCTGTCCTCTCCTGATCTCTCCCTGTCCCTCTTGACTAGTGTCTCTGACTGCCTCTCTGCTATTTCTAACTGGATGGCTGCCCACTTCCTTAAACTAAACTTGACCAAAACTGAAATTCTGGTCTTTCTTCCCTCAAGTGTTGTTACTCCTGTGTCTGTCTCCCTCCAAGTCAACGGTGCTACCATCAGCTCCACCACGCAGGCTCGCTGCCTAGGTGTTCTCTTTGACTCCGACCTCTCCTTCAAGCCTCATGTTCAGGCTTTCGCCAAATCCTGTTATTTCCATCTCAAAAACATTGCGCGCATCGGCCCCTACTTAACGCCAGATGTGACTAAGGTGTTGGTCCATCCCACTGTCCTTTCTCGCCTTGGCTACTGTAATCCGCTTGTCAGTGGTCTTACATGCTCTCAACTTGCACCGTTACAGTCCATAATGAATGCGGGGGCAAGGCTCATCCTCCTGTCCGCCCGCACTACCCACGCCTCACCTTTTGGTCAGTCCCTACATTGGCTTCCTATAAGATATAGAGCTCAATTAAAAATTCTGGTTCTTGCTTTCAAATCTCTACATAATGCTGCTCCCACCTATCTATCCTCCCTTATTCACAAGTATGTCCCGTCTAGGCCCTTACGATCTGCTGAAGACTTATGTCTATCTTCTGTCCGTACTACCACCTCTGATGCTCGCCTTCAAGATTTCTCGAGGGCTGCACCGTTCCTGTGGAACTCGCTTCCCTGCTCACCCAGTCTTCACTCCTTCAAAAAATCATTAAAAACTAACTTCTTCATAAAAGTGAATCACTTAAACTGTTAATAGCTCCCGACTGATTACTCTTCTGCAACTGTCACTAGTCTAATACTATCCTTACCTTTTGTGTAATTTTACCCCATTCCCTCTAGCATGTAAGCTCATTGAGCAGGGCCCTCAACCCCTCTGTTCCTGTGTGTCCAACTTGTCTGGTTACAACTACATGTCTGTTTGTTCACCCATTGTAAAGCGCTGCGGAATTTGATGGTGCTATATAAATAAAATAATAATAATAATAATAATCTCTCTAAAGTCCATTCATCTTATTCTCGCATAGACAGGATCTGTGGCAATACGTCATTAATCAAAAGAACTTAAAAAAATTAGATAATTAAAGGGACACTATAGTCACCTGAACAACTTTAGCTTAATGAAGCAGTTTTGGTGTATAGAACATGCCCCTGCAGCCTCCTCTGCCATCTAGGAGTTAAATCCCTTTGTTTATGAACCCTAGTCACACCTCCCTGCATGTGACTTGCACAGCCTTCAATAAACACTTCCTGTAAAGAGAGCCCTATTTAGGCTTTCTTTATTGCAAGTTCTGTTTAATTAAGATTTTCTTATCCCCTGCTATGTTAATAGCTTGCTAGACCCTGCAAGAGCCTCCTGTATGTGATTAAAGTTCAATTTAGAGATTGAGATACAAATATTTAAGGTAAATTACATCTGTTTGAAAGTGAAACCAGTTTTTTTTTCATGCAGGCTCTGTCAATCATAGCCAGGGGAGGTGTGGCTAGAGCTACATAAACAGAAACAAAGTGATTTAACTCCTTAAAGACAGGGAATTGAGCAGTGAAATTGCAGGGGAATGATCAATACACTAAAACTGCTTTATTTAGCTAAATTAATTTAGATGACTATAGTGTTCCTTTAACAATACATGGTCAATACATGGTATTCTTATTCTTCTTCTTATTATTATTATTATTATTGCCATTTATATAGCGCCAACAGATTCCGTAGCGCTTTATAATATTATGTGAGGGGATTTAACTATATAAAGGACAGTTACAAATAAACTTACAGGAACAATAGGTTGAAGAGGACCCTGCTCAATCGAGCATACATTCTATAGGAGGTGGGGTGTAAAACACAGTAGGACAGGAATTTGCAATCAAATAAGGTGGGCTGCCCTTTAGGAGAGGGAAAGAGACAGGTATGTGAGGTAGGGGTTAGTCTTGGAGGCCATAAGCTTTCCTAAAGAGATGGGTTTTAAGGCACTTCTTAAAAGATGCAAGACTAGGGGAGAGTCTGATGGCGGGAGGCAGGCTATTCCATAGGAAGGGAGCCGCCCGCGAGAAGTCCTGCAAGCGCGAGTTGGCCGTACGGGTGCGGACAACGGACAGGAGGTGGTCACAGGCAGAGCGGAGAGACCGAGAAGGGACATACCTATGGATCTATGAGGAGATATAAGAGGGGCTAGAGTTTTTCAGTGCTTTATAGGTGTGAGTTAGTGCCTTGAATTGACTCCTATAGCACACAGGAAGCCAATGTAAGGACTGGCAGAGGGGTGAGGTGTGAGAGAACTGACTAGAGAGGAAAATCAGTCTAGCAGCAGCGTTCATTACAGATTGTAGGGGTGCAGTACGGCTTTTGGGAAGACCAAGCAGGAGAGGGTTACAATAATCCATGCGGGAAATTACTGGAGTATGGACAAGCTCCTTGGTAGTATCTGGTGCAAGAAAGGGGCGGATGTGGGCTATGTTTTTAAGATGGAATCTACAGGATTTGGCAACATGCTGGATGTGAGGCTCAAAGGTGAGACCAGAGTCAAGTATGACGCCAAGAGCGCTTGCAAGGATGGGCTGATGTTGGTACCACAAACTTGAAGGGAGAGTGAAAGAGGAGGATCAGTATTAGGAGGAGGAAAGACAAGGAGCTCAGTTTTCGAGAGATTTAGTTTCAGAAAGCGGGAGGACATCCATTCATAGATGGAAGAAAGGCAAGCAGTGACACGTTGCAGGACAGCAGGGGAGAGGTCTGGGGAGGAGAGATATAGCTGGGTGTCATCAGCGTACAGGTGGTAGTGGAATCCAAATGAGGTAATAAGTTTGTCAAGAGAGGGAGTATAAAGAGAAAATAGAAGGGGACCAAGGACGGAGCCTTGGGGGACTCCAACCGAGACAGGGCAAGGGGAGGAGGTATCATTAGAAAAAGAGACACTGAATGAGCGTTGGGAGAGATAAGAGGAAAACCATGAGAGGACAGAGTCACAGAGACCAAGCGATTGCAGAGTTTGAAGAAGGAGAGCATGATCAACGGTGTCAAAGGCCGCTGAGAGGTCAAGAAGAATTAGTATGGAGTAGTGGCCTTTGGATTTAGCTGCGATTAGGTCGTTAGTAACTTTGATAAGGGCAGTCTCTGTAGAGTGGAGAGGGCGGAAGCCAAAATGAAAGGGGTCAAGGAGAGAGTTGGAAATGAGGAAATGAGACACACGGGTAAAGACAAGTCTTTCCAGAAGCTTTGAGGAAAAAGGGAGCAGGGATATGGGACGGTAGTTAGAGGGGGTGGACGGGTCGAGGGATGGTTTTTTTAGTATAGGTACTACAGTGGCATGTTTAAGGTCAGCAGGGACAATGCCAAAAGAGAGCGAGCAGTTGAAGATGTGTGTTAGAGAAGGCACGAGACAAGTGGAGAGAGATCTGATAAGGTGAGATGGGACAGGATCGAGCGGGCAAGTGGTGGAGCGAGAGGAGCAAAGAAGAGCAGCCACCTCTTGATCAGTGGCTGGGGAGAATGTCTGAAGGGTAGGAAAGGCTTATCTATGTGTGATTGAGAAACAGAAAGGCAAAGAGGGGAGAATTCTTTCCTTAGCTGTTCAATTTTGTCAGTGAAGTAACATGCAAAGTTATCAGCAGTAAGGTTGGTTTGGGGGGTGGCCACAGCGGGGCGAAGAAGAGAATTAAAGGTGTCAAAGAGACGCCTTGGGTTGCGGGAACATGAACTAATGAGAGAGGAAAAATAGGACTGTTTGGCAAGGGCAAGGGCTGCACTGTATGAACACAATATGAATCTATAGTGGAGAAAGTCTGACTGGGTGCGAGACTTCCTCCAGGAGCGTTCAGCACAACGGGAGCATCTTATTATGTTATGGAAATTAAAGATAAAGTGGAATTCAATAGTAAACCGCCTTGGAGATTGAATGAAAGGTTACTTAATTCTAAAAAGAATAGGGAATATATTTCTAATATGATTTTATTATATTTTGCCGAAAATGACTCAAATGATACAAATCAAATGGTGCGATTCAAGGCCGTTATTAGAGACTATAAAATAAAATCACCAATTTGGGAGAAAATATGAACAAAATTTACAAGACCTATATATACAATTTCCTAATCTCTCTAATAACAATAAACAGAACCCTACTGCTAACACCTATGAAGAGATACTAGAAATTCAGGAAAAAATTTACTATATATTAAGAAAAAAGACTAGATATTATGCCGGGGCAACAGAGCAGATAAACTACTCTCAGATAAGTTAAAAAAGAACAATATGAGAAATAAAATAACAAAAATAATTATAAGAGATAAAACTGTTAACTCCAGATGATATAGGCAAAGCTTTTAATGACTACTATAGTGAGTTGTACAGTATAGGAAATCACACACGAGATATAGATGACTTTTTCAAAGATCAAAATTTTCCAAAATTAACAGATTTACAGAAACAGAAATTAAATTTACCAATCAGTAAGCAGGAAGTAGAACAAACAATAACATCCTTGCAACTCCAAAAAACACCAGGCCATGATGGTTTAAGAAATATATTTTATAAAACGTTTAACACACAGTTGATAGGCCATCAGACAACTACATTTAATAATTTTGTTCAACAAAATTATATACCAGATGAATTAACTAAAGCTAACATAATTCCAATACTAAAAACAAATAAAAATCCTACCCATATCCAAAACTATAGAAAATATATTCATCAATACTTACATCTAGATTAAAATCAGTTATAATAAATTTAATCCAACCAGACCAGATTGGGTTTATCCCAAATAGGTTCTCAGGCTCCAATATCAGAAGAGTATTGGATATTATGGATTCAGTCGAAGAATCTGGGACCCCCATGTTGACTCTCTCAATTGATGCTGAAAAAGCGTTAAACAGAGTCAACTAGGGGTTTATGAGTAAATCTATTCAAAGTTTTGGTATACAATATGGCAATTATGGCAGTTATGTTGCTGTACTGTTCCCCTTCAGCAAGAACAGTGGGTTACAATATAACTACTGATTGGTTCCCATTAAAAAATGGAACAAGGCAAGGAAGTCCACTTTCTCCATTGATATATATAATATCAATAGAACCTCTTGCAATGAAAATTAGAAATAACAAAAAATAGAAGGATTCCCAATAGGACTCACACAACTAAAAATACATGTCTATGCGGACGATGTCCTATTGAATCTTTTAAATCCAAAGACTCACTTAGAGAACTTATTCAAGAAATCCAAAATATAGCATAATATATAATTGTAAAATAAATTAAGACAAATCTATTAGCTTATCTATAAATATAAAACAAGAAGTCATAAAAGAAATACAAAAACAATACAGATTTTGTTGGGTGAATCAAAACTTCCCTTACTTAGGAGTGAAAATAACTAATAAATAAGATGTTAAAAGTGTAATGGAAATACATTTTATGGAGCTTTTAAGATCAACAAATCATCTATCAAAAGAATATAGACCTATAGAATTAACCTGGTGGGGACAGATCAATTTAATAAATTTTTACATCCTTCCAAGATGGTCATATCTTTTTCAAATGTTGCCCCTACAAGTACCTAATCTATGGCTTACAATGCTATACTCAGATTTTACAGACTTTATTTGGAAAGGCAAACCACCTAGGTTAAATAGAAAACTGCTGTCTGGAAAAAAAATAAATGACGTCTAAATCTCCCAAATATTAAAAATACCTACCATTCAAGCACAATTACACATATATATCGGTTGCAAATAAAATCTCCCGAATTAGAATGCTGGCAAGAAATACAAAAAAATTAATTAAGAAATAGAGATCTATCCTTGATGGTATGGAATATAAAAAAAAAACTATTTACTACACATACACCGAATCATTATACAATTTGAAAACAACTATTAGAAGCATGGTACACAATTAAAAACTAATTATGGGTAACAAATAAAGTAATATCGACAACAAAAATTGAGATTATAGAATTACTAACAATAGATCTAGAGCTAAACCCATGAAAACAAAAGGATATCCTATTTGTTAAGCAATTGATTAATTCAATCTTTTCCAGATCTTAAAGAACAATTTAATTTAACCAATTCACAGGTCTTTAATTATTTAAGAGTTAAGAATATTTTGGATAAACATCTTATACATAGTAACTTGAATCTTATTACTTACTTACAAGTGATATTTAACTATTCAAAAGTGAATAAAGTATTTTCCAGAGCAAGAACCCTGATACAAGCTACAGATCCAATAACTAAAACTTTGCCAATATTTAAATGGGAGAAAGATTGAAGAGTATCTATAGATAATGATGAATGGAACAAAATATTAGATAACATTCATCAAATGTGCATTGCCTAAATCTGTTAGAGACACAATTTAAGATTGCCAACAGATGGTATTGGGTCCCAACTAGGAGTGCAAAGATTTCCCTTACGTCTACAGATATATGCCGGAGATGCATCAAAATAAAGAGGACATATTTGCACATTTGGTGGGAGTGTGAGCAAACTAGGGAGATATGGCCTGAATCATATAAATGGTTACTTAATTTAACCAAAACCAAAATGAATTGGTCCCCAAAAGAAACTTTTCTCCATATGTAATGGCCAAAAATGCCTCAAGCTCATAAAATGTTAATAACTCACTATTTTAGCAGTCAAATTGATTATTGCACAGATCTGGAAATACACTAATATACCAAATTGTTATAAAGCAAAAAATCAGTTAAAGGGACACTATAGTCACCTGAACAACTTTAGCTTAATGAGGTTGTTCAGGTGAGAACTATAGCTCCCTGCAGCCTTTCTCATGTAAACACTGTATTTTCTGAGAAAATACAGTGTTTACATTGAAAGCTAGGAACACCTCCAGTTGCAGTCACTCAGAGTGAACCAGAGGGACTTCGGAGTTGATGGAGGCATAATATGCCTCCATCCACTCAGATCTGCTGTCAACAGAGCGCAGGGCAGCACTGTGAACAGCATCCTGTGATTCAGTATCTCCTCCCTCTGCATGCAGACACTGAACTTTCCTCATATAGATTCATTGATTCAATTCATCTCTATGAGGAGATGCTGATTGACCAGGGCTGTATTTGAATCATGCTGGGTCTGCCTCTTTGTCAGTCTCAGCCAACCCTATGGGGAAGCACTGTGATTGGATCAGGCTACCACATGTCAGCAGACTTCTTGTTTTTCTGAGTCTAACAGCATGCAGATTTACAGCTTCAGGCTTGAATACAGTAAGATTTTTATTATATTTATGGAGGCATGAGGGGCCCAGAAGGGGCTAGATGGTGGTGTTAACACTATAGGGTCAGGAATACACGTTTGTGTTCCTGACCCTATAGTGATCCTTTAATATCTCAAATACAAATGGAGAAATATATATGCATAAATCTCTTAAATTCACCCCCAAAAAATCTTAATTTGGAAAGAATGGTTAAATAAAATTACCCCAGATTAATTTAATATTAAAGTTAATGACAACTGAATACAAGAAAACTAAAAGAAGCAAGGGTGTTTTTTATTTTGCAAATTAACTCTCCCCACAGAACAACCCATATGTAATGGCTGAGAGGAGGACAGAGACAGACCAACTGTGTTTCTACCCTCTCCTACCTCTTAGCTATGGATATAATAACTTTTTTTTTTTTTTACTTTTTTTTGTTTATTGTTTTTCTATGTGATATGAATGGTATTTGTATGGTTTTCTAAAATAAGTATATACAATGACTACTGAACTACAATTAGAAAGACAACAAATTGTTATGCGAGAATAAATGTCTATATGTGTAATACTGAAAATATTTTCCAATAAAAAGTATTTAAAAAAAATAAAATCTTTGCCTGTAAATTATAGACCTGTGAGCTTACCTTTTGTGAGAAAGTATTTGAAGGGTTATGAAGGGATAACAGTCAGGAATTCATTGTGGAGAACAATATCATTAGCAAAATCAGCATAGTTTTATGAGACATAGATCATGACAAACTTAACTGCATTCTATTAAGAAGTAAGTAGAAGTATATATCAGGGTGTTGCAATGGATGTGACCTATTTGGATTTTGCCAAGGTGTTTGATGTGATTCCACACAATATTTTAGTGTACAAACTAAAAGAAATTGATCTAAATTAAAATTCTTGTGTAGAACATGCATTGTGATTGTGATAGATAAGTGGACTGGGCACTTAAATGTAGATAACTGCAAAGTTGTGCATTGTGTGGTAAATAATGCAGAAGACTTTAATGGGAGAGACTTAGAGATAAGAACACATGAGAGTGATTTGGGAATAGCAAACTAGGTAACAATGTGCAATGTAAATCAGCAGTTGCTAAGGTCAAAAAGGTATTGTCATGCATACAAAGTGGCATTAATTCTCGGATGAAAATAGAATTTTGCCTCTTTATAAATCAATGGTAACACCACACCTTGAATATGTCGTAAAATATTGTGCCCCTGTTCCAAAAAAGGATATTATGGTACTTCAAGAAGTGCAGAGGCAAGCTACAAAATTAATAAGGGGAATGGAAGATTTTAGTTACGAAGAAAGGCAACACATTTAAATCTGTTTAGTTCGGAGGGGATATGATAGCATTTTACAAATATATTAGGGGCCAACAGAAATTCTTGTCTGGAAATCTATTCATTAACAGGACTATGTATAGGACACAAGGTTGCTCATTTAGACTGGAAAGATGAGATTTATTGTAAGGCAAAGGAAAAGGTTTTTCACAGTAAGAACAATAGGGATGTAGAATTTTCTGCCTAAAGAGGTGGATTTATTAGAGTATGACAGATTTATACAACAATTAGATGAATTATTATAGTATAAGTGCGGTAACAGCTGTGGATCCAATGAAACATCTGATGACATTCTGGGGTCAAGAAGAAATGTTTTCCTAGCAGTGAGAAAGGATAAACTTGATTGACACAAGTCTTTTATCAGCCTACATAAGTATGTAATTATGACACAAAATCTCATTAGCCTATTTACAAATGAACTATAAAAAAAATGTAATTTAATTTCAAAGGTTTTTTTTTTTATGTTTATGGACTATATCGTAAAAGTGCATAATGAGGAAAAGGGAGCTTATGAAATAACTCCTGGAAATAAGAGCAAAGGTGCCTCGTTGGCATATGGACCTGCTGCAATGCAATGCAAGAAAACTGAGCTTTGGGATCCCACTATAATGTTGGCAGGAACAATCCAATAGAATGATTATCATATGGTAGGCAGGATATGCAGACTACAGACCTTTTCAGAGTATGGTTCTGCAGAATGAATTGCTGCTTCAATAATGCTGCAATCATGATATTGATCAATGCATAATTCTGCATTGTCTCAGAATATTCCTCTGAGAGCTCTGTACAATTATTAGAACAGGGGGCTCTAAAGAGAAAAGAGGCCTATAAATAAAAAATAAAATTTGGGGCTAAGGTAAGAGGATAGCAAATAAGACTAAGGTTCTTGAAATGAAGGGCCCAGTTATATTTTCCTAACATTATCCCTATCTCAGCACTTGAAAGAGAAAAAGTGATGCAACAATGAAATATTTCAACGGTAATGATATTCTTGTATATTTTAGATTGTGTATATTTTTTTCGTATCAGTTTAATAGAACAATTTCTAAAAAACACTTTTTTCAAAATGTAGTACAAATTTGTATTGAACTGCTTTTGTTAACATGGGGTGATAGGTTACTAGCACTGGTTAAGTGATCAGGTAGGCAGCTGGAACAATCCAAATCACAGTCTCTCCTTTCTGTTCATAAATGGTTATTGTGTAGAGGGTGGGGAGCAGTGCATTGGAGAAAGTCCTTAAGTGCAGGTCAATGTGATGTATGTAATGAGAAGAGGACCGAGTACCAAATAAAGTGTAGTATGTTAGTGATAGAGTTGAAAAAAGGGAGAAATAGAATTGCACTCACAGTGTGTGGAGCTGATAGTAGCTCTAACTTTTAGTGCCTAGGTGGTATAATTCCCGCCAGTGGATATGTATTCTCTATTTTGGCCCAATGGGGAATGGTTCAGAGGTAACTGCAGAAGCTGACTTGTTGGTCTCAGTAAGTATGTTTTGAGACAGTCCACACTCTTGAATGCACACAGGTTTTCACTCTTTGCTATATATGAGATGGAGTTCTTACCATGATCTATATGTATATAACAGAATACAAAATCTAGTGCTTACTCTGTAATAAATAATAAATAAATAATCAAATTGAATGAAAAATAATTAGATATACTCATTGTAGTAGAGCAAATAAGGATTTGCTTATTCCATATGGCATAGGTGATTTATTCCCCACCAACGAACCAAACATCAGGATAAAAGAGCTGGAAGGTCGAAATGTAAAATGAATTACTAGTTTTATTAGAAATAATATAGAAAAACAAATAAAAGTAGCACACTAACACCTATCATCGGAAATTGGGGTAAGTAAAAATATTCGTCTGCTTCAGCAATTCAGACCAATGGCATTCAGTTCTGCTCGGCACTTTGGCATTTCAGAACTTTTACACTTTGGAACTTGTAGTGGCAATCCGGGCACAGAAAGGCAGGAGCCCTATAGATGTGTAAGTGGTTGTGGTGGCAGTCCTGGCACTGGGAGGCGGAAGCCCTATAAATGTGTAAGTGGTTGTGGTGGCAGTGCCGGTACTGGGAGCCCGCTGCCCATTACTCTAATGGGCAGGGGGCTCCCACTGCCAGTGCCACTACAACCACTTACACATCTATAGGGCTCCTGCCTTTCAGTGCCCGGACTGCCACAACAACCACTTACACATCTATATGGCTCCCGCTTCCTAGTGCCAGGACTGCCACCACAACCACTTACACATTTATAGGGCTCCTGCCTCTCAGTGTCCGGACTGCCACCACAACCACTTACAAATCTGTAGGGCTCCCAGTGCCCTGACTGCCACCACAAAAACTTACACATCTATAGGGCTCCTAGTGCCAGGAATTAGATTATTGGTCAAGTTTCCTGTCATCATTCATGTCATTTTTCCTCCCTCTCTCTTGTTTTGCCACTTTTCAGAAATCTGAAGCAATTCGGAACTTCGGCACTTCTGCACTTTGGACATTCGTAAGCATCTGAATGTCCGAATTGCACAAAATTCTTCCGAATATACATTTGGAACAAAACAAATTGCACATGTCTATTATAAATTGTCTAGACAATTTTACTGATGGTGTGTCAAATTCTTCCTGATGGTGTGTCAAATTCTTCCTTGAGGCTTGTAGCTGAAACATGAGCGATTTAAATCTTTTACTTAGTCACCATTGATAAGGATTTGCAAGTTAGCCACCTTGTAATGGGCGCATTCATAAGAAGCAAGGTCATCAAAGGTCTTGTACAAGAAAAATTATATTTATTTTTGGATGTATTACATATCTGTACTGAAGTTTGTTAGTTATTTTTATCCATTTTTATTCTAGAAGTGTATCATATTTGAATAATTTAAAGATGCACTATAGTAGCCAAGATCACTTCATGTCATTGAAATGGTCTGGGTGCATTGTCCCTGTCCTTTTACATTTGATTTATCTGGGGCAGAAAGGTACATATTTCATTTAAATAATTGCTCTGCAGCCTCAATCAAAAAGCAGAGAAATCGTTATTCCAGAACCATCGGAAATCATCACCTAACTAATTAAATAAGACATGAATAAGAATAGGGACCTGAATTTTGTATTCCTAATGCTATAGTGTACTTTTAATACTCTAAAAGAAAAGGCTCCAAGGATCTAAGTATCTTTGACAAGGGCCAGATAGTGATTGGTCAGAGCATCTCCAAAAGGCCAAGTCTACAGTATGCAGTAGTTAGTACCTACCAAAAGAAGTGCAAGGAAGGACAATTAGTGTCAGGGTTATGGGTGCCCAATGCTCACCGATGCATGTGGGGAGCAAAGGCTCACTCGACAGAGAAGATCTACTGTCGCTCAAATTGCTGATAAACTTGGAAATGTTTGGTCCAGGCATTAATTTGGATGTTAATTTAACACGTATCTCCTACCTAGAGACTGTTGCAGATGACATAAAGTCTTTCATAGCAATGGCAGTGGCCTCTTTCAGGAGGATAATGCACCCTGCCGCACTGCAAAAATTGATCAGGAATAGTTTGAGGAACATGACAAAGAGTTCATGATGTTGCCTTGGTCTCTATATTTCCCAGATCTCAATCCGCTTGAACATCTGTGTGATATGCTTGATATCCACTGGAGATCTGCTGAGACTGTCTTGTTACCAGAAACCACAGAACCTGTTTAGAGGTCTTGTGGAGTCAATGCACCAGAGCTGTTTTTGTTTATGGTATGAAGCAGGTGGCTTTAATGTTGTGGCTGATCAATGTATAATCTGATCTACTGAGCCAATGTATGGTTCCAGTTTTGGTTGCAAAGATATTATTCTGTTTTTCTGTGTTTGAAAGAATATGTATGTTACGGTTGCCTCCAGGCTGGCTGGAAGTTGGACCATAGAAAGGATGCTCCTAGCGCTCACCAAAGGACCATAAGCACCGTAGACACTATAAGCACTGCAGACTCCACGAACCGCCGCTGCTGGGCTAGGATCTCGCCATCTGCTATACACCCTGGACCTATGACCAGGTTCCAGGTTCCAGTAGGTGAACCTCTTCCTTCAGAGCGAAGCAGGATCAGGAACAAGAGCTCTTACAAGAGCTCAGTAGCTAATGGAGTATGAAGAATAGTGATTATAGCTGTCCCCTACAAACATGAGTTGAGGCTGCAAGTTAGAGGGTCAAGTCATTCTGTTTAATTAGCACCAAAGGGCCTTCTTTTATGCAGGTTTTCCTTACATAGGACCACCCACAGGGTTTTACAGAACAACCAATAACACACGTACATTACAGAAAACACTCCCAGGAATTACGCACAAAATCCTCCCCCTCTGCCTGTGATATAATTATGGTACACAATGGTTAACATAATTATCACAGGCAGAAAAAATACAGTTTTTATACACGTTCTCTAACTTTAAAACCATACATCCAATTTTCATAAAAAACACATATTATTAATCAACATCCTTTAAATATAAACATAACAAAAATCACACAAATCCCTCCAGTGGATAAAAAGTTAGACGGAAGTCCTTTATGACCGACCGCAAGCACATTTTCATGCCCAAAACAGTTCCATAGATGTGGGCTATGCGGTCTGTCTATTTCAAGCTGAAAAAATGATTAAGTCCCATCGCCGAATGGGACTTAGTCTCTGCGGCTGAAAGTTCAGTATGGGCGAAGGTACAGGTCAGCGGTGTTCGCGGAAATGTACAGACGATTTTAGTTCCATGAATTTTGATGAATAAAGATGGTGCCGCCATGTGTTCATTTGCATGAACGACGGCCACCCAGTGTTCGGCAATTTACCTACAGCAGGCTCCCAGCCTGGGAGGTAAATTGCCTGCACAGTTCCACTTCTGGGTGGTCCACCTGTGTGGTACTTGGTTCAGTAAGCCCCATTTACTGAACCAAGTGGGAAAAAGCCAGGAACAAAGGGTTTTAACCAAGTCTGGGGACACTGGGAACACAGGCTTAAAGGGGCAGTGTCCCAAACAAGTCTGGGGACACCGTCTTAAAAGGGCAGTGTTCCAATTTTCCCTATGCACCAAAAATGTGCTTAAAGGGCCAGCACCAGTCCCATAAAAAGTCCATAAACCCCAATATCCTCACAGACTGTTCTTAAAGGGCCATACACACCCGGTCCATAGTCATGGGGGAGGAGGCTGGCAAATAGGCTCCTCCATAATCCAGGGAAGCAGGGCAATTTGTCATTTAAAGGAACAGTTACAAAAGGCATTTTCTAACAATGTATTTTTTAAAAAGTTGGAAATTTTTATTTTTCTATATAGTAAACATGCATGTTTATCACCTGAATCGTCCCAGTTCATCATACATTTAAATTATTTTATCTCTACAAATCCTATTGTAATTAATAAAAGTGGTGTTATATTAGTTAATGTATTTAAATATTCCAAGAATCTTGTGATTTTGAGTTCTAGACATCTTTTACTAATAAGGGACTTCATTAAGCTTTGTATTTGAAGCTAATTTGCAATAGTTATATTTGATTAAGCTGTTGATTATATTTAATTATATTAACATATTGGACATTGCAAAAAATAAATAAAATAAAAAAAGTAATCAAAACCAGTTTCAACTTTATAGGTATAGAATACAGTCTTTAGTTTGCAATGACACCTGGGTAGCTCCACTTGTAATTTAAAGGAACACTGCACACACCACGTTTGCTCACCTTGCCTTGGCAAACCACCACCCCCACCCAATGCAAGATGCTAAAACATTTTAGAATGATTTGACTACTTATTTGAGGCTCACTGAATGCCAAGCTCCACATCTACTATTTATTGTTGAGAGCCAAAGCTCCTAAGCAGCTCTTCTCAGCCCTAGTTGAGGGCATTGGCTTTTGCCTCAACAGTAAGTAGAGTAGTGGAGGCAGAGAGTGTCACTGGTTGACCCCAGGTGAGACGTCAATCATTTCTAAAATCCATGCCAGTGATGCTACTTGCATCACTGAGGACATCCACAATAGTTGGTCCTGTACAGAAAGGGGATGGCGATAGACTACTTAGCATGGGCTATGCTGAGAGTGCTGCTGAAGCACTCTCTGTATGGTCCTAGTGCCCTCAGCAGACAACAAGTGTTTGCTAGAGACAGATCCCTGGTATCTCTGAATGTGGGAGACCCAGAAACAAATCAGGGCCTGATGGACAGAAGCCCACAATCAGTATGGTTCTGACGGATATAAGAATGTTGGGAGGTTTACAGACATTAGAGGCATTGGAGACTGTGTTTTTGTTTTTTTGTTTTTTCATTTGAGCTGTGTTTGTCCTTCAGCTATCTCCCAGGAAGCTTATTTTATTATGGGCCTTTCCCTGTCTCTAAAGTGCATGCAAGGGTGTGCACCGGTCTTTATACCACCTTAATAGCATTAATGCTATTACCCCAGATGTTCTATTTTGATTAAATATTCTGTACTATGAATAATATTTTATGCTTCTGATAAAAAAAAAATAATAATAATTTAACTCTTTGAATGAAGAACCTCTGAGTTTCTCATATTTAAGTTGTGCCTCTAATGTCTATGAAGTTCTTTAGTCGAGGTCACTAAACTGTGCATCCAGAAGAATTGGGTAAATTCTAGCTACCCAAATATCTCTTTTAGGCGAGAGACCCAGGCTGTTTTTTAAAATTAGAAACTCTTGTGAAAATTTTAGGTTGAAGTATAATTAATAGTAACAACAAGAAAGTGACATTTTTATAATATAATACTCCTGGAACATGTGCTGTTGAATCTTTACAGGGGTGTGCCAATGAAAAAAAGGGTTACCTGGCTTGGTGTAGTGGTCTGCCCCTCTAACGGAAATATATTGTATCATGCAAATTAATTTCTGAATAATTTGTCATTGTGTCCTATCATTTTCATCCATTGCTGCATTTAATATTGAAGTATACGTGGGAATATGTCTTGTATACCCTGAAACCTTTTGTAGTACTCGCTTAATTAGTCAGTATTTTAGTTAAACATTATGTCAGTGGAGCAGTAGATGGACAAAAGCTTAGAGAAAGTCAGTAGCTTGCCCTTTGGTTAGTCCCCACTAAGGTCTCACGACTGTTTTTGCTCACTTGTGCCATTACACAAGATAACCTATACCATTTGCATATCAGACTGATCCCACCCATAAGAGCAGTTCAGTACTGAAATGTCAGCACGTCCTATCTGCATGAGAGATACAGCAATCCCAAACAATTGGTTTGGACTTTTTGGGGCTTGTCACATCTGGATTACCCTCTTACTCAGGGAGAGTCTAATAAATAAAATGTATAACCCCTATTGTATTTCATTTGCTCTTTTATTTAAGGGATGTGCAAGGGCAAAAAAAAATTGGTTTGTTTTTCGGAAATTCAGGTAAATAAAATAATTTGGCAATTCAGTACAGTACGGCACTTCTAAAATTTGGAACTTCGGCAATTCAGAACATCTGTAGGGCTCCCTAACCCTACCCCATAACCCTATTCCTACCCATGTCACCATTCACATAATTTTCGCTCCCTTTCTTGTTTTGTTACTTTTCAGAAATTCAAAGCACTTCGGCACTTCGAAAATTCATCACTTTTGCAATTCGGCAACTCGGTTCGGTACTTCAGAAATTCAGCACTTTGGAAATTCGGACATTCAGAAGCATCCGAATGTCCGAAATTGCCATAAATTCGTCCAAATTCACATTTAGAATGAAACACATTGCACATGTCTAATGTGTACTGAGGAGTGTGGAATTAGAGAAGGACACACAGGCACCACAGCTTCCAATGTGTATTTACTCTGTCTGCAACTCCTGTCAATTCTCTTTACAGTCACTCACAGAGCCCACAGTGCAGGCTGAGTCTTTACGTGAGTGTCAGGTGAGCGCACCTCCATGTTCTTAAATGGTGTAACTAGTTACATAATTAATTACATTGTACAGCAGTTTATTTGAATTTTGGTAGAGTGGATGAATTTTCTATTTGCCGTTTATATATATATATGTAATATATATGAGAACTGTTGTAAATAATATCAATTTGTATATTAAACTATTTCATATCTGTTCTTTAATTGGGGTATATGGATTAACTATAAGCATTTTTAAAATTTTGATTATTTAATAAAATCTGATTTGCATTATACATCGGCCCCTTTGATAATAAGTGCTATTAAATATGCTGGCGCTATATAAATTCCAGTAATAATAAAATACCAGTAATAATAATACATGGGAGTGCAGGTGTTTTTTTTTTTTATTTACGCACATATTATATACCTGCATATACATATGCAGCAAAAAAACATATTTTTAAAGAATCTAAATAATTAGGCTAGATATTCAGAAAATTGGGAATTGGAATTGTGTTTATCTACAGTGAGGACTATAATTCCTACAATGCCCATTGTTGTGCAAGGGGCAGGGCACATAAAAGCAACAGATTTGTAAAAGGAGGTGAAAGAGATACAGAAATGGAAGAATAGATTAGCTGAATCCATATTCAGCACTGCATAGTCTTGCACCCTGTTGCCAGTGACCCTTGGCTCACCCCTGCTGAACATTTATTTTAAACACAATATAATCATTTATTTGAAAGTGAGTTACATTTGTAGCAGGATTCTTATTCTCCGTATTTGTGAATAAGTGATATATAAGTATATATGTTAATGTGTTATTGTGTTTTTATTAAATTGTAATAGTTTGTCATTCAAGTGCCCAGAAATCTATCCACTTCAGAACCTATTTAATCAAGAGATTTATAAAGAGAGTTGTTTTATGAAAATGGTTTCTTTATTTCATTACTACATAACTATCTTCTTTTGAATCAACCCAGTTTTTGTGTCCTTCCAAACCACATTAATATAAAGTTTTATTCCACTTTTTTCATAGATAGAACTCTCTTTCCCAAAATTTTAACCTGGAATTTGCTTCCTCTTTTGAATGGCATAGTGGTTCTTCATTCACCCTTCCTATGTAATCTGACAGGTGCTTTTTAAGCATGAAATACAAAATGGTTTAGACACTCCAAGGTTCAGAAATGGCAAATTTATTGAAGCCGAATGTAACAACGTTTCAACCTACACAGTCTTTGTCAAGCTCACTTTGTAAAGCACTTCACTGTTGAATGTATACACAAGGCGGATACTAAAATTGAGTTCAAAGTTAACGGTCTCTATTCTGTTTAAGATGCTTCGCAGACGCCAGATTTTTATTTATATATATATATATATATATATATATATATGTATATGTATATGTATGTAAGAATAGAGGACTAAATATTGATTTGGGTTTCCTGTCCCACTACCAACACTTTACATGAACACTCTCCCAGCATTATCTTACTGTTCTGTCATATGTATCAACATTTAAAAAAATGCATTCCTATATGTTTATTCTATCTATATACAAAGTACTGTGTGTAGACCTATACTTTTCCATACTCGTATGCATGTATGCTTATATATATATTACTGTGCATTTATATTTGTGTCTATGAGTTCATGTACATGTATGTATATGTGTTTATGTATATGTATATGTACATGTGTTTATGCGTTCACATATACATATTTATGTGTGTGTGCATGTATAAAGTGTACCATCCTCTGCACTGTCTGTTTGTTTGTTTTTCTTCTCCCTCTCTCCCCCTCACAGATATTTATGACCATCTGCAAAAATGGTGTCTATTTTCTAACAAACCTGTGTCTTATCTACACTCATGTCACTTTAACCCCTGTATCACAACTCAACTTTGAATTCTATGTGTCCTCTTGCTCAGAAATGCTTCAGACTTGAGAAAGGGAGGTTCTCCCGAAAGCTTGTCATTAAAAAATTCTGTTAGTCCAATAAAAAAGGTATTACAAGATATGAATTTTATCTGTTTTTTACATATATAGATAGATAGATATATGTAGCTGCAATACTATCTGTCCATCTGTTTGGCATGAGGAATTATTTCACCTTACAGTAAACTAAAATTGTAATTTTTTTTTTGTTTGTTTTTTGGCATTTCATTTAACTTCACCACAAAAAGCTCCAGTTCTGTGAACAATAGAATTTGGCATCTAATTGAAATAATTTTGGGATTTCATTAAAACAGATGTGGGAGGAGAATTGGCACAATAACTTAGCCATCGTTTTTAGATATGAAAGATTTGAGGTTTTATAATATTACAACATAAAAGGCACAGGTAATATGTTTTTGATCATTTATAATTGGAGTCCCCAAAGTTCAATACTAAATTCTAACAAACTAGATTAATGAAGCAGTGGCCAGAATTAAGATAGAACGCAGATACTCCAGATGCCGTGCTGTCAAAGTTCAAACATACTCACAACTCAATTATTAAATCGGGAAACTTTCAATGTGTCCAAAAACTTAGACGAGAACTCTCTAAGTGGGCTTAAAGTTGACCCTGATATTTTTTCTTTCAGGCTCTAACTGGGAAACACATTTAAGCCTACATAGTTATACTAATGTGTTATTTTTCCACCTCTTTGGAGCAGCAGAAATGAAAATGAAAGGCAACTATCGAATTGCCCTGCATGGCACCAAACACAATTAGCAAATCCTTTCACCTAATTCAAACCAGTCTAACAAACTCCAAACCTCTTCTAACAATGCACAATTATAAACGAAGCTTTTAGCTTTGGGCCGGATAAATATAATGAGTTGTTATTTAGGAAACTGCTTAGCAGGATCTGACAATATAAACACACAAACACAACTTCACAAAGAACTCTTTTGAAGTTAATTTACCACGAAAATGGGCATTCTGAGAGCTCTGTAAGCAACCACCAACCTTAAAGTTAAGTATAAAGTGCTTTGTATTTTCTTTTGTGAAGTAAAAAAAAAATCTAAATTAAAAGCCCTTTTAAAAACATAGCATTGCAGATATTGTTCTTGGAGATTATATTCTTGCAGTAAAAACACATTGCATGTTTTATTGTTTGCATGTTTTTTGGTTTTTTTCTCTCCTTACTAAAAGTTTTACAAATCTTTTCAATTTATTATTTAATTAAATAAACCAAAAAGTGCAAGATTAAGCCAAAATATACATTAAAACTGATTTAAAAATGAGATTAGAAAACAGATTTGACATTTTAGATAATCAACTCTATTTTGAAGCAGTGCATTGACACTCAGATGATAAACGTAATGGGGTTTAAATACTAAATAGGGTAATTAAAAGCCAAAGTTAAGGGGGTGGAACTTGCTCATAAGGGAGAGTGGACACCATTTCTTGAAGCTCCGGTCAACTGCCTGCAATTCCCCAAAAAAGCCTGATACTTAACCACCTCTCGGTAGCAAAGTACACGGCAGCTGCCTCCTGGTGTCCTACCGATCAGACCCATGCCATATTTTCATACACCAAAGTTCTGCTACTCACCTCCTGGAGCTGTGCACAGCGTGCTACTCAGTGACTCCCACAGAGCAGGATCACCTGGTAAGGAGCTCTACGATCCGACTGTGCAGGTTGGTAGCGAACCGGCAATGGGACGCCGCATCCAGAAACAGATGGCTGGGGCCACAGTAGACACCAGGGATATTAGATCTATGCTCCAACGGCAGCCCTAAACTGAGAAGGCAACAGAGGCTTACCATGAAAGCTCACCAATCCCTCGAGAGTTGTCCATTCCTACCCCACAGTCACTGGAACCGGCAACATATGCCTCTCTAGATCTACCCCTGGAAGAGACAGACCTGGCCACAAAGCTGGACATTCAAAACTTCCTCCACAAGATTAAACAGATGGTGACAGCAGACATAGCTGTAGTAAAAACAGAAGTACAGGCTGTGACAGACCAAGTCCAAGCTAATGAAGAGGACATCATGGATCTGCGCAGGGACCTTTCAGCTATCCAGGATCAATTTACACAAGTCCAATCCTCCCACCAGACATTCAACATGCAAGTAACCTCTATGGAAGATAGATATCGGAGGAACCAAATCAAGATCCGTGGGACACCTTGTGTCAGTGGTTTTGCCCCCAAATGTTGCCAGGAAATTCACACTAGATGGGGCTTACCGCCTTCCGAAACTCCAACGGGCCACGACAGCTGGACCACAGGACGTCATAGTCCGCTGTGCCTCACTACAAGATAAGGTACAATTCATGACTGCTGTTAGGGGTAAATCACCATACTCATTTGAGAACTCTCATCTCTCCTTTTTTCATGATCTCACCAGAGCCACACTCCAGTGGCCACACTCCAGTGGCGCAAGTATCTCAGCATGGTGACAAGCTGGCTTAGAGAAGCAGGTTTGTCCTACAAATGGGGCCTCTCAAAGACTCTCCTGGTGACCCAACAGGGAACTGTATTCAAACATTAATCAGCTACAGAGGCTCCAGCATTTCTCAGAGCTCTGGGTCTCCCCCAGAGGACTGCTAATGAAACTCAGCCACACATTTCGCAAACTTGGGATCCTGCCACAGTTGTCCCTTTCGTCCCACGAAGTATCTCTAATACCTGCAAGGGAACCTGAGAGAAATGCAGAGATGGCACACCTGGGGCCCCAATTGTTAATTGTTACTTGTTAAATGCTTTTCTCTACTTTCTTATGTTTGTTCTCACAGTGGTTTTATTCATTATCAATGATTGCTCTTGCATCTGACAGGCCCTTATCCTCCGTAGTAAGATGTACAACTTTATTCCGTGTACCCACCACGATTAAAGAGAATCCCCCTCTCCCCCCTCACCCCTTGATGCTCCATTGGTTAGGGGCAATACAAATGCTTCACTGAGCTTAGCCTGACATAACACAATAAAGCATGATCTCTTGATAAGCATTTCTGTGAATGCATAACAGCTATCCTATCTAGTTCAGTCTCTAGAATTCTAGCATTCCTACTACCATGCAGCACCCACTTGACATAACACTGTGGATTTTAGGCTAAGCTTACACACGTCCACTTTACAGTGATAGATCAGGTTCTCTCCTATATAACTAACTGACAGGGCAGCTATTTGAATCTGCTTCTGCTAATACTGTGCTTTGATCATATATTACACCTAATTATCTGCAACAATTTAAGCTGACCACCCAGTGGTATTTAAAACCTTGCATGTCATGTCTAATTCTGCATGATATTGTTGTGAAATCTTTACCTGCTTTCATCATATGGTAGAATTGTGAAACATGTTTATTTACCCAAAGAATTGTGCTGACCTGAAATTGTTCTTATAAGCTTGTATCTGTTGTTGTGGCAGTACAAGCCTGTATGTTACTCTACTCACATAAAAATAAAGAATTATAAAAAATAAAAAAAAGCCAAAGTTAAAAATGTTGTCTAAACTGAGAAAATTACTGAGGCACACAATATTTCACACTCAAAATTGTATTTCAAACCTTTGAAGTTAATAACTTTAAATGTTTGCAGGGTATATCAAACTCCAAATTAATATGTGTATACTCTTTACCGCACGTCAGAAATAGGAAAGTTTTCCTTTAAAGTGCTGAAGTGCACAATCCAGCGCACTCGCTTATTCACTAAACAATGATTTCAAATCTTACAGATTGTAATAGTTTTATTTAAAAACACCTCACCTAGGCAAAAAATAATGGGGGTTTAGTTACATTATATGATCATATATTGCATAAGCGTGCCACAACGTCAATGTACCCCATTCTTGGCAGGTCCTACTCTAGCAGCCTAATGTCTGCTCTTATAAGATTAACCCACCTACTTGGGAAATACTTCCTCCTGGGACTCTCTGCAAGTCAGGGCTAAATAGGGTCCTGTAATGAGGCACCTGTGGCAGGAAGGGGTGCAAAACAAAGGAGTTGGCCTGGACTCCCAAATATATAAATGAAACCAAGAGGGCTGCACTCACCTGAACATGCATACATTATGAGGTGCTGCTGGGGCCAAAATATACAAAATACAGAATCCAGCGCAATCCAGTTACATTATATGATCATATATTGCATCATATGTGGCAGGCTTATGCAATATATGATCATATTATGTAACTAAACTCCCATTTTTTTTTTGCCTAGTTGAGGTGTTTTTAAATAAAACTATTACAATCTGTGAGATTTGAAATCATTGTTTAGTGAATAAGCGAGTGCAGTGAGTTGTGTATTTTGCATGTTGTATATATTGGCCCAGGCAGCAACCTATAATGTATGCATGTTCAGGTGAGTGTGCAGCCCTCTTAGTTTCATTTATATATATTAACAAACATATATATATATATATATATACACACACACATATATATTTAATGTAGTGTAGATAGCACACCACGGACTTCCAAGTGATAAAGTATGGAAAAAAAGATCGACGTTTCAGTTTGTAATCCAAACTTTCATCAGGATTGGATTACAAACTGAAACGTCGATCTTTTTGAGCAATAAAAGTTAAGTTTTACTTTATCACTTGGAAGTCCTTGGAGTGCTATCTACACTACATTGAATCTGTGAATGCTGACAAGCACCGGGCACAAACACCAGTAAGTTGGAGTGCTACACTATTTTTTACTATTTTTGCAATTTTATATACACATTTTATTTATTTCTTTACTTCTCCTTTTTTCCTCTATTAGTTACTTCTCTATAACATATTATGGGATATGTTGGAATATTTATATATTATATATACATATAGTTTTTCCTGTTCCTCCTCTTTTTGCATTTTCTCGTGAAACATTTTTTTTTTTATAATTTATATTATTTACAGTATATACTTTGCAGAACACTGATTGCCCAATTTCAATACCTTTTTTTAATCGTTCAACTCATTATCTCAAATATTTTTCATGGATGATGACGAAAACTCAGCTTCTAAAAATTGGTTAACATTTTTATTTTTTATGGGAGTAGAGAACATTTTTCAACCACCCTCTCTCTCATGGTCTTCTCTTTTTTTTATTTCATTTTTGTTTTTTACAATTTTTACACATACATTACATTTTCTTTTTTCATTTTTTTTCTTTTCATATTTATCACCATATGCAAATGTCTTTATATTCATTTTATAAAATTGGCCACTATATATGGTACTTGCTGTTTTATAAGCTATATATGAAAATATCTGACTATTTTTCAACAATACTTAATATGTTATTTTGTAATTGTCTATGCTGAGTTACTGAATACTATTTTATTTTTATCCAATCAATTTTGTGGGTTTCATTGAAATATTATGAGAACAGATTTTATTCTATTATCCTAGTCCTAGAATTATTACTTTTTTTTCACTATCTCCTTTTTTTTTAATTTGCATAAAATTAGTCTTAAAATTATGTCCCTCAATGTGAGGGGTCTAAATACTCCCCATAAATTGAAACTTTTGTTTCAAGAGATCAAAAGCCACAAAATTGATGTTTTATGTGTTCAAGAAACCCACTTTAAAGTTAATTTGATCCCTAATTTTAGGCCTAAATTTTACCTACTTAGTTCCACTCAGTATATGAGAAAAAGGTAGGGAGTTTCTATAATGTTTAGTAAAAATTTAGCTTGTTCAACTAATAGAGTTATAAAAGAAAAAAAGTAGATTTTTAATTTGGTGTGGTACAATCAATAATATCCCATATGCAATTACTAATGTATATTTTCCCAATTCAGGTCAGGTTTCTTATTTGCAATTTATTCTTAAAAAACTTGAAAAGTTCAAAAAAGGTACGTTTATATTATGTGGAGATGCCCATTTTGTATTTGACTATAAATTGGATACCACTAGGGAAAAACTAAAGTGTTCAGATTCTAATGCATCATCTAAAACAGCACAGTCGTGTTCTCCCATTTTATATTCTTTTGGACTATATGATTTCTGGAGAGTATTCAATTTTGGAGTAAAAGACTATACATAGTACTCACAATCTTGTAATAAGTACTCCCGAATTGATAGATTTATTGTAGATAACAATGTGTTAGACTCACCTATAAAAATGGTTTTACTGACGATAGATTGGTCAGATCATGCACCCATCGTTCTACACTTGAAAGAACTATATTTGAACAAACCAAAAAGATTATGGAGGTTAGGGGATCATTTGTTAAATGGAATGGAAAATATTACACTAGCTGAAGAGACATTTTATAATTATTTTACTGATAATATTTCCCATAAAATTTTGTTTGTACATATTTGGAATACCCATAAAGCTACAATGAGGGGTCACTTTGTTCGGAGAGCTTCATACCTAAAAAACAAAGAACACAAAATATATTTACACAAGAACATTTTTTTATATGATCTTCAACAAAAAAAAAAATTTGGCCCATCAAAACAATTAGTTACAATAATTAAAGCTTTAAAAGAACAAATTAATTTGATAAGATTTCACCAAACTTCATTGATGTTAAAGAAAACTAAACAGACCTTTTATTCTAAAAGCAATAGAGCCTCTTCAATGTTAGCAAAAATATTAAGACGCATCACTAACCGATCTAGGATTGAATATTTAAGAGATGATTCAGGAGAGAAAATAATACATCCAAAACACACTAGTAATAAATTTGCGGCCTATTATCAATCACCGATAATACCACTAATCAGCCATCATTACATGGCATCAAAAATGTCTTAAGTAAAATTGACATCCCCAAAATGAATATGGTCCAGATGACAAATATGAACAAAGAAATTGATCCTGAGGAAATTTTAATAGTGATCAAAAAGCCCCATTAGGGAAAGTCCTGATGGATTGCTGACAATTTATTATAAAACATTTAAAGACATCCTAATACCATATCTCACCATATTATATAACATTTATAAAAACAATGGAAATATGTCCCCAGAAGCCACCCAAGCACAAATTACTACTATTCCAAAAAAGGTAAAAATCCAGATTTATGTTAAAATGTCAGGCCTTTATCCCTAATGAACAATGATACTAAATTTTATTCTACAATATTAGCAAATACATTAATTGACATTATTCCAAATTGAATTCATAATGATTAAGTAGGTTTTAAACAAAACAGACAAGCATCAAATAGTACCAGACGATTTATACATTTAATCCACCACATGAATCATGCACACACGCCTTCTCTGATCTTATCTTTAGATTTAGTTATCTTTATTGTTCTCCTTCAGCTAAAGTTCATTTGTCAGGTTTAATTTCAGACAGTTTCAGCTTGTCAAATGGTACACGCCAGGGTTGCCCTCTTCTTTTTCTCTTAGCAATCCCGAAAGTTGACTGACAAAAGCACCAGACGCCCAGGAACTATTTTGGGCATAGGATCACATGTGCAGCCGGTGAGAATTTTAACATGATGGCGTTTCCCCCACACTGCATGGAAGGGAGTGCTATTTGGAGATCTTGGCTGCTCAGATCAGGGCTATTTGGGGATGTATTATTTGTGGGGTTATTTTATGTTTTGGGGTTCTTTTGTGTTTTTATATTTTTGTGTTTGGCTCTCTGTTCCTGGGAGATAATAAACTTACCGATCTGTAATGCAATTATCTCCCAGGCCCAGAGATTCCTGGATGGGGCTTGTGTTGAATACAATGGAGACCCTCTGCTGGGGTCTGTACATAAAAGGCATAGTTTGGCCCATTACAATCAGTTGACTACCTGAACTATGTGTAATCTAGTTGCTGGGGAGAAAGGGCTTTAATCACTGTTTAGCAGCTTGTTCCATGTTCGTGGAGGATTCGGCGGGGAAAGTCCTTTTAAGGGTGTGTGTCACACAGTCCCTAAGAGCTGGTCCCCTATCCTGTTCCAAGATGGAGAGGCATCCAGAAGGACCACAGTCAAGCCACGGTGACTGGGGCAGAAGAGTGTCAATTTTCCCTGATTCCAGCTATGAAGCGGTCCTGGTGGAGGTACCCAGCCAGGGTACAGGGAGCTCTGCTACAATGCCCTATCCTTTATATTCCAATATTAGAATTGGCAACATTAAAATTAAAATACGATTTTGATTGGAAGGAGGACTACAGTTCTTTTTTGGGTATTAACCTCTCCAAAAATCTTAACAATATGATAAATTTAAATATCAACAAAAAATTGCCTGAATTAAGATCAGAGATGGATAGATGGGGTGAATTTGAACTCACATGGTTAGGTAGAATGGCAGGCCTTAAAATTAATATATCCCCCAAAATATGATATTTGAGTCCAACAATTCCAGTAACTATTCCCAATTCCCTATTCAAAAAAATAAATTTGGATATCATAAAATGTATTTGGCAAAACAAAAAAAGTAGAATCAGATTAGAGACAATGCAAATACATAAACAATTTTGGGGGCTTGGGAGTTCCAGGTCTTTATTATATTGCTACCAACGCTTCTATAGCCATTAAATTCAATTTGACTAACAATATATATACCTAAATAGTTACAAATAGAAAATTCTATCATAATGGAACATTCGTTTTCTGATTTATTGTGGTTATCTAATTCCATGTGTCTAGAGAAATCTAATTATTCCCTACTACGAAATTGACTATTTATGCATTGAACAATTTCTTTTCCATAGTCAGATCGGATAACTGATTTTCTAGATTATTACTACTTTCAGTGCTGAATAGATTATTTCCTGAACTTAATATTTACACCCCTCTTTGGAAATCTTTGGAAAGATAGTATGTTTGAATGATTTTTTTAATTCAAACTCATTATCATCCTTTTCAACTTTACAAAAGAAATACAAATTAACCAATGCATTATCTGATCAATATGATACAATTTCTTTTAAATTATTTAACTTTTTGACATTCAATCATTTGACAAAAAATTAGATTCATTGCAATAAACAAATTTAGAAAAAATATATATTTAAATAATCCGGTCCCAAAACACACTGTATCTATTTGCTATCACTATTTATCATCTTTACTGAATCGTTAGTTGGAGTTCATGACTGATTGGGAAAATGATATGCAATTACAAATAGACATATCAGAATGGTACAAAATAAGAGACACCCTCAAAAGTATAACCCTATGTTCCACTCATTTACAAAATCATCTTAAACTTGTATAAAGATAAAGATGGGACTTAGTAAGTACCTACCAGGCTTAAAATTTTCCCATCTACAGCAGACTTATGCTGGATAGAGATGTCGCGAACCGTTCGCGAACTTCCCGCGAACGGCTCGCCACGGTTCGCCACGAACCGTTCGTGGCGAGCTCCGGTCAGCTGACACATCCCGGCCAATCTCCAGCAGACCCTCCCTCCCAGACCCTCCCACCTCCTGGACAGCATCCATGTTGAAGGCAGCTTCAACATGGATGCTGTCCAGGAGGTGGGAAGGTATGGGAGGGAGGGTCTGCTGGAGATTGGCCGGGATGTGTCAGCTGACTGGAGCTCGCTGCGAACGGTTCGTGGCGAGCCGTTGCGGGAAGATCGCGAACGGTTCGCGATATCTCTAATGCTGGAGACAATGTGGGGAAATTGGTAATACGTATCATATTTGGTGGACTTGTATTAAATTAAAATCATCCTGGGATTTTATCCTCTCCTTTATTATTATTATTATTATTATTATATATTTATATAGTGCCAGCATATTCTGTAGCGCTTTACAATATTACCAAAGGGGAAGATTTAACAATAAATGAGACAATTACAAAAACTTACAGGAACAATAGGTTGAAGAGGGCCCTGCTCAAACGAGCTTACAGTCTATAGGGTTAATATAAATCATTGTCCCCACAATCACAAAATTGTCACCAAAAGTGGGCTTATTCGAATTGCTTCCAAATTTCTTAACCAAGGCTGAAAAATTAGTCATATCTCATATTTTAATAGCTGCTACATCCTTGATACCCAAATATTGCAAAGGGTTACATTACCATCTGAAGGAGAAGTTATACATTTTATCAGAGAAAACAAAGATTATGGATTGGCTTTAAGACCTCCTTTCATATTTTTAGTAATTGTGAAATACACACGGGACACGTGGGATATAGAAATATCCCAAAAATAAATTAATAATATAGAGAGGTGGATTTATTTTCTCGGCATGGATAATTTAAAACATTTGTATTTATTATTTTTTATTTATTTATTTTCTTCTTGATGTTTAACATATTTCTGTTATATATTGCTTCTTGTTTTTAGAATTAGATATTATATATGATTATCTCAATTATGTATATTACGGTCAATTGTTGTATATACCCTACCTTCACTTTTTCCCCTCTATTTTTTTTTTTTGTTTTTTGTTTTTTGTTTCATATTGTCAATATTGCTTAATATTAATTCTTTATAGATATATTGTATTCTACTAATTGTTTAAGATAGCGTTATGTAATTATAATAAAATTTTATAAAAAATATTTAAAGTCAGTGCTGATTTTAATCCAGACACCAAATGCTTCCAGGCAATTGCTAAAGAATTTATTGAGGGAAACTGAATTCTGACTGTATTTGGCTTTAGGAAATATGACAATTACCATTGTGGTCAGCATTCGGTAATTTTCAACAGACTTTTTCCATCCAAATAAAATCCAGTGTTTAATGAATAACACTGTTAATATGTGGACTTCTCTGCTTCAAGTTGTTGTTTTTTTCTATCAAATTCTGCTTGTTTTGTTTTTTTCTGGAATAAAATGTATATTCAACTATATCTTAGTTATTATGTGAGGTAACAACATTATATTAAAAGTGTAAACTGATTAACATTATGGAGTCAAATAAGATTTCCCCCCTCCCCCTTTTTTTAACACAACTGAAAATTGCTACAATTAGAATTGCATTTCTTTGTGTGAATAAACCACTGAAACTTATGTGCGAAAGGTTGAAGAAGAATGGACTTGAATCTTTGTTTAGCCTATATTATTATGTAACTATGTAACAACAAACCAAGAAAGCACCATGCACAACACACTCACTTGATAGGACAGATATCCCCTTTGAAATCCTTGTGATGGCATTTTTACTGTTAATCTGTACTTCAAGTAGACTTTTTGCT